TTTTTTTGCTTGTTTTTCTCCATTTAAATTGGAGAGATTGTTAGTGTGCTTCCGGAGCATATAATTTCTTACCAGTCCCTCGATGTTTGATCTTGGCCATCAGTTCTGCTGAGGTTAATGTCATTTGGACAGAAGGCAGAGGGAAAGGAGAGCTTTCACTTTCATACAGGAGAATATGGCTACAGAAGCCAAATTTACTAACAACATGGAAATGAATCTCAGTAATTAAAAACAAAATATGGCAAAATCAAAGCTTAATCAAGTGAAAAGTGTAAATCTATGACTTTTTAAAAAGAATTTAGTAAAATGTGTTCTATTTATGATAAACAACCTTTAGTTAACAGACATTAAAAGGACTTTTTCTTATGCTGTTACACACATACACACACACACTCAGAAACACATATTCAGCAGGCAACATACATTTGCTACGTTTCCCAGAAATCTCTTTAAAGTCATTACCCGAGTGATGCCGTTGACAACAGTGTTATTTATTGTAAACTATAGAATTAAACAAGAAAGCTGACACCTGGCACTCAGGAAGAAAAGAGGAGGAAATAAGTATTATCATTTGAAATAAAATTATGTGTACCTTGAAAATACCTGAGATAAATGTATATATATTACAAAAAATGAGTTCAATAAAGTGACTGATTGACAAATAAGTATAAAAGTGAGTAACTTCAGTGTGTGAAAGAAAGGACAGTGAAGAAAAACACATACTAGTAAAAGTTAACAAAAATGCATAGGACTTAAATAAAGAAAACTGTAAAGTTCCACTGATGTCCAAGGGAAAGAGCTTTGAAAAATTAAGATATATAAAAATATCACTTCTCCAAGGGTGAGCTAATATATGAATATAATTCCAAAATAAAATCCAAGGGGTCATTTAATTACACAGTAAAATGAGTCTAAAGTTTACATGGAAGAATAAGCTTATTCTTCTTTCTAGTGATGAGTCTGAAAAAGAATATGGCGAGTGCACGGTGGCTGGGCAAAATGCCAAACTATGTTTGTGCCACAGTGTCACAGTGTAAGAACTGACAGAAAATGGAAGCAAATCCTTATGGACGTTCCTAAATATGCACAGAAATAGTGAAAAATTTTTGAGTGTGGCCTTTTAAAGTAGAAAAGGAAAAGGCAAGCTGTTCATTAAATGCCATTCCTGCACCTACCTAAGCACTGGTGAAGAAAATAAATGTGAGAGTTCCCTCATCTCTCACACAAAAACAAGTTTCAGATGGTTCAAAAATTGTAATGGATTAAATAAAAATTTTAAACCCCAAATTCATGAATGAAATTAAAAAATAATATTGGAATAGAAAAGAACTTATTATAAATATAATAAAGAAACAATCAAAATATAACCAAAGACACTGAAATAGAGGACAGGCTTACAGTGACCAGAGGGGAGAGAAGAGGGAATTTCAGGGGACAATGGGAAAGGTTTACAAGAACCAATTTAAAGGACACATGGACAAAAACTAGGGGGAGAGTGGTAATGGAAGGGAAGAGGGGATGGGGGTTGGGTGGGTCAGCTGGATTGAGAGTAAAAGGGCAGTGTTCTACAGTGTTATGAACAGTGTTATGAACTACTTGAACAAAGATTAAAATAAAATAAAATAAAATAAAATAAAGAAAAAAGCAATAAATAAATAAATATAATATGTAAATAAGAAGCAATGAAAGAAAAAATACAATCATGTAGATGGAAAAAAGTCTTCAATCTATCTTGATCAACTCTGACACATTCTGTCTTTTAATTGGTGCTAAATTTAGACCACTGGCATTCAAAGTGGTTATTGATATTGTTTAATATCCACTATATTTTGTTACTCTTTTCTATTTGTTGCCCATGTTCCTGTTCTGGTTTTGTTTTTATTATTTTTCTGCCTTTTATTGTTTTAATTGGGAATTTGATATGATTTCTTTCTTACCATATTGGTTACTGTTTTTTAAAAACCTTTTTAAATGGTTGCCCTAGAATTTGCAACATACATTTTCAACTAATCCAAGTCTATTTTCCAAGTCTACATTACTTCACAGGTAGTATGAATGAATACCTTATAATACTGAGTAATAAAATAAGTTCGATTCCTTTCTCCAAGGTCCTGCATCACTGTTGTCATTTATTTCACTTTTATGTAAGCATACATAGATGTGTATATATACTATACATGCTATACAAATAAGCACATATAATCAAATACATGTTTGTATTAATTTTGAACAAACTATAATAGCCTTTAAGAGTAAGAAAAATAAAAAGGTTTCTGTTTTTATTTTATTTTCCTTATTCCTTCTTCAGTACTTTTCCTTCTTTATGTGGATCCAAGATTCTGACCTCTATTATTTTCCTTTTCTCTAAAGATTTTTTTTCATAATCCTTACAAAGCAGATCTACTGGCAACAAATTCCCTCTGTATTTGTCTGAGAAAATCTTTACTTCTTTACTTTGTAAGGATAATTCTGTAGGGAACAGAATTATAAGTTGGTGTTTTTTCTCCCTCAACTATTTCTTTCAGTTCATTTTCTTCTTGCTTGCATGGTTTCTGAGGAGAAGTCTGGTGTACTTCTTTCTTCCTCTGTAGGTTAGATGTTTTTTTCTTTGACTTCTATCAGGATTTTTTCTTTATCTTTGATTTTCTTCACTTTGAAAATGACATGTCTATGTATATATTTTTGTTGTTGTTATTTGGTCTTTATCCTACTTGGTGTTCTCTAAACTTCTTGGATATGTGGTTTGGTATCTGACTTTAATTTGGGTAAATTTTCTGTCATTGTTGTTTCCAATACATTCTGCTCCTTTCTCTTTCTTCCTCTTCTGTTATTCCCATTACATGTATGTTACACCTTTTGTAGTTGTCCTGAAGTCCCTGGATATTCTGTCCCAAACAGTCTTTTGTTTGCTTTTTGTTTGGGGCTTCTAATAGTATATCCTCGAGCTCAGAGATCATTTCCATAGCTGTGTCCAGTCTATTAATAAGCCCATCAAAGGCATTCTTTATTTCTGTCACAATGTTTTTACCACTAGCATTTCTTGTTTATTTTGGAGTTGTTTGTTTTTTGCTGTTTCATCGAATTTCCATCTTTCTGTTTACATTGCCGATCTGTTTCTGCATGCTATTTACTTTTTCACAGAGCCCTTAGCACATGAATCATAATTGTTTTCCATTCCCAGTTTGATAATTCCAACATCCCTGACATGCCTAGTTCTGATGCTTGCTCTGTGTCTTCAAATCATGTTTGTCTGCTGTTTGTTATGCCTTGTTACTTTTTCTTGACAGTTGCATAGGATGTGCTGAGTCCAATGAATTGCTGTAAACAGGCCTTATTAACGTGAGGATGAGGTGTGGGAGAGGGGCAGTGTTCTACAGTGTTATGATCAGGCTTTTAGTGCACCTATGCCTCTGGACTGTGAACTTCATAGCATTTTCTCAGGTTTTTTTTCATCTTCCATCTTTGGTTGGCTGGGGTAGCTCAGGTGGGCTTAGTCTGGACTTTTCTTATCTCCCAGCTTAGTTATGCTCTGATAAAGGCCTAACAGATGAGGCTCTGCTTAACTAGTTTCTCCTAAGGAGAGGCATTATTAAGAGGAAGGGTGTTCTGGGACCTATTTCAAAGTAGCTCCTTTTTTCCTTCCCTTACTGGAAGCACAAAGGGTTTTTCTTCAATATTTACTCTCAGAGTCTGATTGAGCTACTGGAGGTAAATCTCACAAAATTATTGGAGACCCTCACACTAGGCACCTCTGCTTGCAGTGTTTAGCTCTCAGACTTGCCTGCACTGAGCCTCCAGCAACATCAATTACAGTCCAGGGTTTTCTATCCTGGCGCCAGTTCCCTGGCCATTGCCACTCCTGAGTGTGTCTGGTAAGCCTCAATTCCCTGTATTCGCCTGTCTGTCCTCCTCATTTGGAGGGCAGCGGTTTGTATTGTGTCCTCTCCTCTCTTTCAGATCCCAGAAGAGTTCATTTTTCAGTCTGTTCAGCTTGTTGTTAGGATGGAGTATCAAGTTCCTGGAATGCAGAATGGGAAAGTAGAAGTCTTCAATTAGATTTCAATTAAATTAACTTAAAAAATATTTGTAACATATGAATTAGACAGAACTTTAGTAAGCAAAGTAAATTGTTTTTCTAAAAATATACAAAACTGAACAATCATTTAGCAATGTAAGAAATAAAATGATAAACATATATAAAATTATTAATTTCATTAGTAACCAAGAAAAGGCAAACTAAACTATGAATAACATATATTTCACCAGTACTTTTCAAAATATTATTCAATGCTTATGAGGATGAATGAAAGCTAGCAATTCTATTTGTAGGAATTATCCTCCCTTCTCCAAAAATACATAATTAGGAACATGTAAAAAGATATTTATTCATAAAAAGATATTGCATTATACATAATAGGAAAAATTAAAAATAAAGTATATTCTCAGTGGAATGGTGTAAGTTGGAATACAATGAAATGATATTAATCATTGAAAGTAAATGAGCCCTGGCTGGCGTAGCTCAGTGGATTGAGTGCAGGCTGCAAGCCAGGCATCTCAGGTTCGTTTCCCAGTCAGGGCACATGCCTAGGTTGCAGGCCATGGCCCCCAGCAACCACACATTGATGTCTCTCTCTCTCTCTCTCTCTTTCTCTCTCCCTTTCCTCTCTAAAAATAAATAAATAAAATCTTAAAAGAAAAAGAAAGTAAATGAAAAGATAGATTTTTCACACACTTATTTTGTATAAGATCAAATTATAAAGCTGTATGAATATTATAATCAGAATGAAAATATTAGGAAACATACACTGAAAGCCTATCATGAGTATATCTCTTTTTCATAAATAAAATAACATAGTATGACAAAACCTTAATGGTAGAACCTACTGTGGAGCATACAACAGGTGACTGAAGAAATATATACCTTCAAGTCATATCCTCTGTGTTAGAAGATGGAGTGGTTTGCATACAGATGATGATCCTATTTTCTTTTCTCCTGCTAGGGAAAGGTGAACATGGGAAGCCTTACCCCCTCACTGAAGAGGACCATGACGACTCTGCTTACAGGGAAAATGGCTTCAATATTTTTGTCAGCAACAATATTGCTCTAGAGAGATCGCTGCCTGATATTCGTCATGCTAAGTGAGTGTCAGCGAGCCTATGTGTGGATTGGTTTTCTCCTGTCAATTTTGTTTTACTATGTTTAATGTGTATCACAGTTCACCATGAGTCATGTCACTAAAATTGTTTTCCTAATACTTTTATGTAAAAACTTTTATATGTTTTATTGTTTGATTTACAATGGAATATTCTTTAAAATTCCAAAGAATAACTAGCGACTCTCTAAAACTTAAAACATGCTTCTGTTATTGAGTTGACTGTATTATTTCCACTTTAAAATGACGTATTTTAAGAGAATATCTATGGTATTACATTGGATCATGTAGCTTTTGAAGCAAACATTTTTTCCAGTGATTAGTGCTAACAGAATGTCTACATATATTATATACTGTATGCTATTATCGATTTCCTTCTCACACCAGCCATATTCACTGCCATTATAGTTATATCTCCCATGAAGAATGCCTAAAATAAGTGTATCCATAATTCAAAGGGAATGGTTGTTGCTCAATTATCTGTCACTTTATGAATTGCTTGTGGCTTCTCAATTGACAGTGAGTGCAGTTTTACTGAGTTATAGCTAAATACTATAGTGTAAATGGACACAAGAATAACGTGATATTTAGCTACCTGAAATCCCTCTTTTCTCTGTCCACACCTATCTACTCCTAACATGGCTTAGTATATTTTCCCCCTAGTCTGTTATGGTTTTCTTGATAGCATATACAATGCCAAAAGTATTTCAGGAACATAGAATATGGTCAGAATTTGAATTGTAGAATTGCCATACATGTTTGAGAAATCTATCCAACTATACAAATATGTTCACTTCTTCCCCACATCACTTGTCCTTTGGCAGCACTGTTATAAGAGAAAGAAAATCAGAGAAAATAAAATAAGGACAACTAATAATAATAGGAATAGGAATCCAAATTAAACCAATAATATACAGTAAATGAAACTTATAATTTTGTGCAAGAATAATTAACCCTTAGAAAAATTATGATTTGGGGGAGCATTTTTAATTGCCTTCAGTGCCTTTATAAATTTACTTTAAAATATAAAATAATTACTCATTTCCCCTTCAGGTTTTATGGGAACTTGCATTTCCCAGCATAGTTAAGCAGAGGATTAATGTGAAGAACATACCAATTTTTCCCTAAATTGAATGCTTTATATGTGAGTTTAGGCCTTCCAGCTAGCCAAATTATTCCCAGGTTACCTGAAATTATCTACAGTAATTCCGACTGACCGAGAACACTTCTAGTTATGAGAAATTTTAATACCTAATTGTGCACCATCAAAGATGAATTAAATTGCATTGTTGGCATAATAAATATGCTCAGAGAATAATTTCCTTCCACCTCCTCTCCCACCCCCACACTTCCAACCTTTTAATATGTATTCAAGTGGAAAGAATTGCAGATGGAGACAGTGCAGAAAATCACTGACGTCAAAAGGCATGTTATATTCCCATTCTTCTCAGAGTGTATTTTCAGTGTGACTACCACCTTTTAAGAAGATATTCTTAGGCAATAAGGGAAAAGAAAATTTTAAAAATGGAATAAAAAATACTTTAAAAATTTATTAGAGTCACTGAGTTTACAGTATCAGAGGGCACTATTCTAAATATTAGGGAATAAAATTTGGCTAAAATATGTTTTGTAACTATATTTTTACTTTACTGAGGGTGGATATCTAGTAGGACAAATAGTCACCTACTAGAATGATACCAACAAAACAAAACAAAACAAAACAAAACAAAACAAAACAAACAACCTTAACTGAGGGATTTGGAGACGGAAGACAACAAATTGTCAAGTGTGAGATACCAGAATGATCATTTAACCTGGTTAGTCCAGCATCTGACTCAGCAATGCAGGCAGATCCAACATTGCTTGTGACTTTGTCAGGATCCTATAAGCAGAAACCAAGAGCCAAAGAAAGTCTTGCAGGGATCCCAATGTTTAAAGTCCTATCATTTTGACCTCATCTGTGTGTCTCAAAATATGGGCACAAATAACTAGATGAGTGTGCAGCTTTTTGTAAGTGGTACTTGAAATACAAAAGCAACTTGACACCTGTTCCAGTATTATCAATTTAACAGGCTGCAGGTGATGGACCATAGCTTGTTTATACTGATGGAATCTATCGAAGGGAATGCAAAATTTATGTGACTTGCAAGTGTCCTCTGCCTATTCATATCTTCACATTTAGTAAAAAAAAGTCATCACTGTTCTAAAACAAAATTATAGAATTAAACCATACTTCTTGTGACAGCATGGATGGACCTAGATCATATAACACTCTGAAATAAGTCAGTCAAAGAAAGGCAAATACCATGTGACTTCACTTATATGTGGAAACTGAAGAACAAAATAAACAAACAGAATATAAACAGACTCATAGATACAAAGAACAGGCTGACAATTAACAGAGGGGTAGAGGTGAGGGAGCTGATTGCAAAAGCTGAAAGGATCAAGTACAAATTGACAGTTACAGAATAGTCACAGGAGTGTAAATTATAGCATATGGAATATAGTCAATAATATTGTAAGGACTGTGTATGGGACCAAATGGGTACCTGATATATCAAGGGGACCACTGGGTAAAGTATGTGATTTCTAAACAACTATGCTGTGCAACTGAAACTAATACAGAATGATATCAAATGCAAACTATATTTGAAAAAAAAAAGAAACTATATTTGAAAAAGAAAAGAAAAAAAGAAATTCCTCTTCCCGAAATCTTATATCTGGGTGTTTTGTTTTGCTTAGTGCATATTTTAGTTCACCATGAAGAATTTTTAGAACATGAATGATTTTAGAAATCCTAATCCAGAAAAAAAAATTTTACTTATTTGTTTTCTTCTTCACTAGCATAAAAGCAAACTGCTTCCTTTTGGCTTTATTATTTCATTGAGTTACTAATAGATTCCTATTAAGTAACCATAGATGAAGGAAATCCATTGGCATGTGTATAATGATTCAATCATTCTCACATCCTAATGATAAATTCTAAGCTTTTCATTTACATTTTACATTTTTATATTTTTATAAATATGTTTTACAGTTCCCAATTTTATAAATTATATTTCATTTTTTCATATCTATGCCTTGGTATTATCAAACTTTCCACCTTTTTTCCATAGTATTAACCCTACATTTGCATTGACTTTTGCATATTTTTGAAAGTATATCTACATACTTTAAATACTCCCCTTTTTAGTCACTGCCTAATTAATCTATATCCATAGTACCTGGGCTCAATGTGATATTTGGCCTTTGAACATATTACCTTTACATTCTATTTAATTCAGTATTGATAAGAATGTCACTATAAGAGCTTCTGCATGACAAATATCCAGTTAGTAGATACTTGGCTGGCCTGGATTCACTTTATCAACTTCAGAATTTTCCCACCTCTATATTGATTGTGCATTCTTTCTGTATATAGTCAACCATCTGTGGTGTACATCTTTGTGTGCTATAAAACATCCTATTTTTACCTCTAGTTCCAGATAAGAATTATAAAACATAAGTTTAGAATACAAAATCCATATAAAATAGGGAAACAGAAAACCATGATGGATGGATGGCCTGCAAATGGATAAGCTTATGCATGAGTATATGGTTAGCAGGGTATCATTTGATAATATTTACTACTCTGTAGATATGGATAATCAGCAGTCACCACACATACTCCCTCGAATATGGTATAAATAATGTGTGTAAGATGAAATTACATCTGTAAAAAGAGAAAATGCATGAGATTGAGAGACCACAGAGCCATGTGTAAAGGAGAGCTGAGGTAGGCTCTACAGAAGATCCAGGTAAATGTATCATAGAAAACAGGTTAACATTTTGCTGTTATAAGAGAACACATGTTTATACAGGTAAAATTGATGCCCCTACACATTGACTAAGATGCACCTATAAGGTGGCTGAGTAGCTGGGATATTTCTGAATTAACTTTTCATTTAACTTTCCTTTACATTTTACTTATATTCCCAAGATATGAATAGTTTTAAAAGCTTTATCACTTTGACAATAAGTCAGATACTGATTGTTGAGAGAAATGTCTGTGATATCTCAAGTCTTGAGAAAATGTAGGAGAATGTTTACAACCTCTTGGATTGCATAATTGCTTTCAGCAGTGTTAGTTACATTACACCAATACAATTCACCCTTAACAATGTGCAGGTTAGGGGTCTGACCCCTCTATGCTGTTGAAAAACCACATAAAACTTTTTACTCCCCCAAAACTTAACTACTAATAGCCTATTGTTGACTGGAAACCTTACAGATAACACAAAAAGTAAATTAACATATACTTTATATGTTCTATGTACTATATACTGTACTCTTACGATAAAATAAGCTGGATGCTAGAAAATCTCATTAAGAAAATCATAAGGAAGAGAAAATATATTTATAACACTGAACATATTTACTGAAAAAAAATATGCATATATTGAACCCAGGCATTTCAAACCTGTGCTGTTCAAAGGTCAATTGTGTATCACAACCCTGCACTCTGTACATGTCAGAGCCAAATGAGAGATTGTCCCGGAAATGATTTGGGGTTAAGATATTACCTTCTTATTGGTAATATTCCATTGGTGGGCATAGTTTTGTTGTGGGCCAAGTGTGATTTCTAATAGTAAACTCCTCAGTGAATCACACTCAGCCTCGAGTCATAGACATCACTGGATGACACAAGGACGATTGTAGGACATAAGGCATGGAGGGCAGAGGTAGATGTTTTATCTCTGCAGGTAAGCAGATTCCAAAGCAGAAAAATGAAGGAGGAGCTGAGCCAAGCATGGCAAGCTGTGTAACTCAAAGCCATCCTTTCTCCTGGAAAGAATGTCTGTGTAGATGGCAAGAGGCCAGCAGTATAAATCTAGTTAGTGACTGCACCCCTGCATGGGAATCTCCATCGAGAGGAAGGGAATCTCCTCCCTAGGTGAATAGTGCCTAACATCTTTGTATATGAGGAGAAAAAGCATTTCTCAACAT